TTCTATTGATACAATATGCACATTGGCTTTCTACCCCACTCCAGTTCATTGAGTCCGACTCAGCCACCATTCACCGGGGACTCACTGAGGCCCGTATTCAGTGTTGTTCCTAGGGATTTTTGAATTGTACAACTTTCAGTGTCAAAATTGTGCACTTTTACTTTCGATTGTACAACCACTAATTAATCTTCTTCTTTTTTATTGACAGACTATGGCCTACTACTTTCCCATGCTTAAAATTCTTGTTTTTTCCAGTTTAAAATATATTTTTGATGTAAAACGGTGTACTGATTGGTCGCGAATGGCGCCAAATTTAAACTTTTTTTTTTATTAATTTTAATGCATGCTATTTAACAAATCGTAGACTTTTTGAGCGAAGAGAACCTTTTATATACCCAATTTTACATAAATATTTAGCAATTTCAAATTGTACAACATTTCTGTCTTTTTTCAAAAGTGCGTACAACAGTACAACCGCATAACTGATTGTACAACTTTTTGTACAATTGTACAACCAGGAACAACACTGCCCGTATTTATAAACAGAACTTACGTGAGTCGGACTTGGGTAAGTCGTCCTTGAACTAAAATCGAAGTTCGGTTACAACGTCTCTAAAGTTCTAGGTGGTTCTGGTGTTTGACTGGAATTTAGAGATGGATATTAGCAAATATGTAACTGTTATGTACATTTGCGGATTTGTTAATACCCATCTCTAAATTCACGCGATATAACCGAACTTCGATTTTCGTTCGAGGACGACTTACCCAAGTCCGACTCAGCTGAGTTTTGTTTATAAATACGGGCCGTTTCGTTCATAAATACGGGCCATGTCAGGGCTGCCAGAATGAAAATGGCAAATCGTACTAAAAAAAATTTTAAAACGTACTGAATCTCAAAAAACCGTACTGAATAATCAGTTGTTAAAAAAGTACTAGATTTTATGAAAACGTACTAAAACATAAATCAAAAAACACCATAAAAGGGCGGGAAATTTAAATTAATAACCTATAAAAAAGCTTTTATTGAAACATTTACAAAAATGTTATCATATAGAAACAAACAGGTACATAGGTAAAGCGAAAGCAAAATAAAAATAATTTTCTTGTGTTTTCTCACACTTGTTAAAACTGATTACAAGTGCTAAACATTTTTTGGTGGATATATCTGTTGTCTCATCAATCATTATAGAAAATTTTTGGCCCTTGATAAGCTCACAAATAGTTTTAGAAAATTCATCTTTGAAAGATTGTAAATACATTGTGGCTTTAGTTGGACCACATTTAACATTTTTTAAAATATTTGAATCATGTCCTGCAGATGCCATACATTTTGGAAGATGGTCCATGATTAAAAATGGTAGATTATGTTCTGCCAAGAACATAATCATTTTTAATTCTGCTCTTTTTGTGTCTACAGATATTGTTGGTTTGGATTCCGAGGAGAGAAAATTCATCAATTGTGGGGTTGACTGAGCTATTTTTACTTTGGATAAATGTCGCTTTGTTTTTTCATGCCTCTTTAAGTGAACTATGCCACCGGAAATATTTCTTTTACAAATCTTACAGTGAGCTACACCATTGTTTGACCGGATCCAAGAAAACGATTCTTGCCATTTGCAATTAAATTTAGCCTTATAGAGTTTTCTTTTCTTATGCACTATTTGATGGTTCTCAGTGTTATCACCATCCTCCTCCTCATCATCTTCAAATTGAGAATCTATCTCAACCTCAATATTTTCAGCATTAAAATCAATATTTATTTGATTTTCCTCTTGGGAATCTTTAATTTGATGAATAAGGAACCTTCAAAATTAAAACAATCATATTTATAAACATTATTTAATCTGCAAAGAAAACTTATTACTTATCCATTTTCCTCTCCAAATTCCGAAAATTGCATCCAATAAACTTACAACAAATTTAAAAAATTAGTAATTAGCAGGGCTGGTATATCTAAGGGGGTCGCGACATAGACCCAGTAAATGGATGAGGGGGTGACTGAGGCTAGGGGGGAAATAGTAGTCAGCTTAAGTTGGCAACACTTTTCTGATGTTCGTTTGAACGAGCATCGTGCATAATAATGTCAATATGGTACAAGTGGAATGAACCACTGTTTTCCTCGTAGTCCAATGTCGAATTAAAACTAAAAACATTTTGTACTTTTTTATATACCAAATTATGCATTTTGTTTCCACTTTATTTTAATGTTACATGAATAGGTACATGCGTTTGTGCTGTGGTAAATAAGTGTTCATGTGAAAATTATATCTTAAACTACATTGTGACTGCACTCATCTCGAAACTGAATGCTGTAAATCCAGGATTTAAATCTTTCATAGTGTTGCTTGGGATAAATTGTAAAAAAGGTGTTGGACAAAACGTTTACAACCTAAAATTGCATGAAAAACACGATAGAAGAAGGAATTTTACCTTTATGACATTCTCTTTCAACATTTTTAAGTGACTTTGTGGTTTGGTGAATGGACTGTTACCACAGTCAAAAGATTCAAAGTAAAAAAAGTGACCAAGTTCTAATAAGAATACATAAGTTGAATATGAAAATGTAATTACTTGATTTAAATGTGATTTAATTAAGAGTTACATAGATGTTTCATATAAACAAAGTGCTGTAAAATGTTAATAAATGCAAAACCATTATTAAAGAGAAATTAGTTATCATCAATAAGATATTTTGTAGTAGCTGGTCTCTATAAATAATAAACTTGAAAGACTGAATTAGTAGTCACTTTTACACTAGAAGTAAAAACAAAAAAAAAATGTGTGGTTGAGACTAATTTGTGTATTTAATAAAAACATATTTAACATAAAAGCAGGTGTTATTTGAAATGTTTTATTTTAGTTTAATAATCTTTATAAATTGTGGGTACATTTGATCCGAATCTTGCAAATACTATAAAATTCATATGCTTCCATATGGTTAGTATTGGAGTAGAAGCACAAAAGTTTTGAATAAAAATATATTCTTTAAATACAATATTCACTAGATATGCTAATTTTGGTAATTTTCTATTCGAAACCATACATGTTTTCTATTATAGTTTTCATATGTTTATAATTCTGGAGATACCAGAATATTTTGCTTGATTACTAAACTTTGGATGTTTTTGTTGTAGTCTGCTGTTAACACTATTGTCCTGAAATATTAAAAAAGCTAGACAAAGTTTTGTCCAACTCTTTTGTCAGCTTTGTTAATCTATGCTACTGTTAGTCTGCATGCAGACATTTTTTACTGGAGATTTTCTCTAAGAACTGTATTCAGTTTCAAATTTCGGCCAGTTTTAGGAAAGTACCTCTGTTGTAAAGGTATTTCAAAGCCATCCTTTGTGAGATGTAGACAACAAATACATGCTAAAATGTATAGAAAACAAATCGCAAGATATTACACAAAATTATTTAAATTAACTAAAAACATACAAATGAAGTGAATAATACCTACCAACAATTTAAAAGACCTAAAATAAATAGACTTAAGGGACTGGAGCTCTAAAAAAGGGAGCAATAATTTGTTATGCATCATCTATAAGAAAATTGTCTTCATCTCTTCAATTACTTTTTGAAATAAACAAAACTAAAACAGCACAAAATTGAAAGTGATCTACTTTTCCCGACGTATTTTATGTACATCTGAGATTAATAATTTATTAAATTGAAATATTTTATCGTAAAAAATATGGGCATTTTATAATGGAAATGTCATTTAAGAAATGACATTGATTTTTTTTCTTATATTGGTAAACCTGGCGACTACAAGTTGCTACGTTGCCAGATCAATGGCGACTACTATTTCGAAAAAAATGGCGTCCAAAATGGACTCCTATGTCGCGACCCCCTTAGATATACCAGCCCTGGTAATTAGTTGTAAAATAACTGTCAACAGTGTCAACCACTAATGAAATATGTCATTTATCTTCTTTTTTTTTTTAATACATGCATTGCGTTCGGTCTGCCAAGTTCCTTTAACTCCTTTAACACTTTTAACTCCAAACGACCCTTTTAGCGTTAGGTTTAGTCCGATTAGTGACAGTTTAACACGCTTAAATGTCATTTAAAATTTGTCCCGCTCCAGCCCCTGACTGACCGAACTCGCCTTTAATAGTACTGAAAATTGTACTGAATTGACAAATTTCAACGAAAACGTACTAAAACTAAAAACGTAAAGCTTAATTTATAACCGCAGTAACGTAACTTAAGAACTTAACGTAAGAAGTTGAAATATTGAATTTACGTATGCTTATTTATAATGTTCGTAACGTAACTTAAGAACTTAACGTACCGTAGAAAGTTCACCAACTTTTTAACTTAACAACTTAACTTAACCTAAGACCTTACGGTTAGCCAATGAGATAATTCTGAGTTCAGCATGTGATAACTGTCATTTATTCTATTTTTATTTTTTTTTATAAATGAATAGGCAAATACCATTTGTAAACTAACATTCTCCTTTTTGATGGACATACATTATCATGAATGATTTGTGTTTATGTTATTGAGGATAAACTATGAGATATGAGTGTTGCTGCATATACCTATAAACATCAAGTCTAGAAATTAAATAAGACACAAAACTAGTTTGCTAGGAAAGATTAAATTCTCATTATTGCTCAAAAACAATCAACATCTTCGGTAAACTATTCTGTTTTATTATATTTTTATATTACTACTTTTAAAGTAGTTAATATATTCTTTTTATATAGCAAAATCATAATTTATAAGTTTTATTTAGAGGTTAGGTACATAGTTTACACTTGTTTATTTCATAAGATTGTCAGTAATTAGATAATCTCTGAAATCAACACGCATGCTCAACTCTTACGTTACGGACATTTATAAATAGACTTTATTTTTATATCTTAGGTTAAGTTTCTACGGCGTTAAGTTAAGTTACGTTACGGTGGTTATAAATTATACTTAACACTGACGTACTGAAAAAGTTGAAAAAGTACTGAATTCAGTACAAAAGTACTGAATCTGGCAGCCCTGGGCCATGTTGTTGGGCTGCGGTGGCTAAATACCTAAAGGGTGGCGGCCAAAAAACTAAAAGAAGAAGAACTTGGGGGTTTAAAAAAATAAATAAAAAATGGAAGATTGTGGTAGAAGTCTATGAAAAAATAATAATGCACCGCTTGTCTCAAAATAATACGAATATTCCGCAAGATACAGCTCCTGATCCACTTGTTATTGTTAAAGTGGAACAACCGGATATTGAAGGAGAAAACATATCGTCGGAACCCCTAACTCAGGTGAAGGTAAAACTAGAGAATAATGTTTTGGTTACTGCTTCAGATCATATTTTTAAGGATATTCGTAAAGTTCAAGTCTCAGATTATTCTATAAATGATATTCATATAATTACGATTAAACAAGAAGTAGACAGTGATGTAAACTCAATTAAAACTGAACTCTTATCCGATCAGTTTGACTTGTCTGTTAAAAGTGAAGTTAATACACTTAATACCGACCAAGACTATTTGAATCAACCTTCTAGTAGTAAGCAAGAACTAGAATTAGATGAATCTCCTAAAGATATTGCGAGAAAGTATATTAGTAAGAAGCATACTTGTCCTGTCTGCAAAAAAAGTAAGTCCTTAGTTTTAAATGGTTATGATTTAGAGATTGGAAAAATAAATAAAACATACCAATATTTTTAACAAATATAGGTGGAATGTGGAATAAACAGGCTTCTATTGTTCTACAAATCAGTGTATTTATGAGGCCTTTAGAGTTTAGTAACTCAGAATAATGGATAAATTGTTAGACTTAGTATGGGCGTTCTCTAATATTCATCAAAACTGTTCTTTTATTCATCAAAAATTTTTAGACGAGTCATACATCATATTTTTAAATTCAACCTAATTCTCAGGTAAATTATTATTAAACAGATAAGGAAATAGAAAAGTTCGCTCAAAATTCTTATTAATATGAATGAAGAAACTCACTGGGTTTTATTAACCCAATCTCTAAGTGGGCTAAATTTTAAAATAAGATTGTCAGCCTTAGATATACAGCAGGCAAATGAAGGCAAATACACATTTTTTTTCAATTATTGTATTACCTATACTGCCGTACTAAGGGCAGAAGCAGTAACTAACATATGCAGTTACCGCTTCTGCGCTTAGTATGGCAGTATTCCAAATAAGGATAAATAAAATATATCAAACAAATCTCAAAACCTTATTCACAATACATGGGCGGCTGTTTCTCTTTTGACAACAACTGCTTCTTTGGCTTATACCTCACCAGATATTGAATTATGTCAAAAGAAAAAAGCTGAGATAAAAATATTTTCAACACTCTACCTTTGATTTTGCCTACTAAACTAAGGAGAAAGACATTCTTGGACTGGTTTCGTCCTTATTAGGACTCTTCAGCAAGAAATAGAAATTCTCAATTCCAGTCTCTAATGGAGTCTGATAGCAATAAGAAATATGATTGAACACATTCATGGCTGGTTGAGCATGTGTAGATGTTGAGCATGTGTAGATATTCAACAAGCCAATATGGCTCGCAAAAAGGTATTGCCATCTATACTTAGTAAGCAAAATCAAAGGTCGCTGTAGTACCTAGTTTAGAGACTAGGTGGAATAAAAGTCAAACTGGCTATTCTTAAAAAAGGAAATAATTCCAGACTCAAATGTGACCAAGATGTAAATAGTCACATAATCTTTTTTAAAGATAAATAATGTAACAGTGGACTGCCCTGTCAATGATTGACCACTCTACAATATTATCTAAGAGAAAAGGGCTTGGTAAAGCGTAAACCAGATAATTGAGTCGGTTCTGTTTAACATTGTTATGAAACTTGCTACAGTGACCATATTGTTACATCTACCTAGTTATATGGTCATTTAAATTCATATTGTTTTGACCGTTATAGCAATATTGGTTATTAGTTTTGTTCATAGCAACATTGTTATGACTGTGAGATAAATTGCATATTTTACAGCTGACATCTTTGTAAACCATAGATGTTTCTGATGTTTTGTATAGGTAAAAAAGAAGAATCTTGTTTCAGATTGGCTTTTTTGTAATTTAATAGTTTTTAAGGTATTAGTTGAAAATATTAAAATGATGACACTACAGTATTTATTGCACAACTGCGAAGGTCTATTAAGACTAGGAAAAACCAAGCACTACTAAAAACACAGGATAGTTACTTTCTAGTTTATCTAGAAAATAAAAAAAACTCGACACAGGGCTCTAAATAATGATCAAAAGATATCCACAATAGACCTGAAAACTGTATGTCTCTCAATATTTCTAAATGTTACACAATTATATTTGGTAGTGTGCACAACAAAGTAATCCTAGATTATTCAATTTGGGATACAGTCCTTAATAGAGTAACTGAGATAAAAGACTTAGGAGTGCTTGTCGATGAGAATCTGACATTTAACCTACATATCCAAAAATAGATATCCTCCTTAGTACAATGGTAGCATTATTAAAGATTTACAGGCTAAAAGTAGAATTTGGCGCAAATACAAGCGTGAAAGCAATTTACAGGCCTTTAAGGATTTTAAACACCTTCAGGCGAAAATAAAGCAAGATGTTGATGTTGCATACAAGAAATTATTAGGCAAAACTGAGGAAGAAATACATAACAACCCAAACAGATTTTGGGTATTTATAAATAATAAACGAGGTAGTTCCAAAATATTACAAGCTTCAGTGAAAAGGAAGTATATGAGGCACTAAGATCACTTAAGCCAAAAAAGACCCCCGGATCAGACGATATTCCAGCTTTTGTCCTAAAAGATTGTTCTTCTGTGCTTGCTCGTCCTCTCTCCATACTAATTAATATTTGTTTAAAATCAGCTACAATACCAGAGATCTGGAAATCCTCAAAGGTCTGTCCCATTTTCAAGAAAGGAGATAGACAAGATATTTCAAATTATCGACCTATCTCTATTATATGCAAAGGTTTTTGAAATCCTGCTAGAGCGAGTTATATGTCGTCATGTAAGTTGTAATATAAACATAAATCAACATGGTTTCAGGAAAAGTCGTTCAACAGTCACCAACCTTCTGACCGTTAACCAAATTTATTGCTGAATCTATTGACAACAGAGCCCAAACTGATGTTATTTACACAGACTTTTCTAAGGCCTTCGACAGACTTGATCATGGCATTCTGCTCAACAAACTTGTAGCTTTTGGATTATCTCCTTCTTTAATTTCACTATTTCAATCCTATCTATGGGATCGAAAGCAATATGTCCAGCTTAATGGTTTTAGGTCTGCTGAATATAGTGCTTCTTCCGGTGTTCCACAAGGGTCGAATCTAGGACACCTCCTTTTTATTATGTTCATTAATGATATTGTAGATGTTATAAATGTAAATTTCCTTTGCTGATGATCTAAAACTATACTGCCTCGTAGAGAAGATAGGTGATTGCGAGAACCTTTCAGCAAACTTAACACGGATTGTTGAATGGTGTTATCAAAATAACTTGTCACTAAACCCGGATAAATGTAAAGTTATGTCCTACAGTTTAACGAATATCCTAATCTTTAATTATTCAATAGAAAACGTTGCCCTTGAGCGACCGAAAACATTTACTGATCTTGGCGTCACGTTTGACACTGCACTATCATTTAATAAGCATATTGATAATGTTGTATCCTCCTCCTATCGCATGTACAGATTAATTTCACATAGCAGTAGTGATTTCAAAGAAACCTCTACCTTAAAAACTCTTTTATAAGATCAAAGTTAGAATATGCTTCAGTTGTGTGGAGCCCCTTTTATCAGTATCATATAGATCGAATAGAAACAATTCAAAGACGATTTTTAAAACTGCTAAGCCTGAAAACTGATGGCATTTATCCCCTAATAGGTACACCTCACTCTGAATTACTACAAAAGCATAACTTTTTCAGTCTCGAAAGAAGGCGTGATTATTATAGTGTAGTAGTAACTTATAAAATTATTAAAAGTATTATTGACTACCCAACCTTATTAGAAAAGTTTAATATTTCCATTCCCAGAATTTCTTCCAGACACCGGAATACTTTTTATATAAATACATCTCGCACAAATGTTCTGGAAAATTCTCCGCTCCATACCATGTGTACAGTAACAAATTCTATTGTCAATGAACTTGATATATTTAGTTGCAATTTGTCAGATATAAAATCCCACTTTTTATCTTAGTTAATTTGTTAATTTGTTACCTATTACGAAATACAAGTTCTTTTTATCATATAAAAAATTGTGATTTATTAATAATTAATTTCTGTCAATTCCTGCTCTGTAATTGGGTTTATGACCTGTATAGTATTGTATTATAAATAAATAAAATAAATATTAATCAGTTCACTGGCAAAGCTTTAAATACTCTTGGATTTATACTGAGAAACTCTAGTGGTCTCTCAATAAATTCGGTCAAAGTAGTGTATTCTGCATAAGTCAGATCCCTGCTTGAATATGGGTGCCCATTTGGGCACCTTTTTACAATGTCCATATTTCGTCTATTGAAGCTGTTCAGAATAAGTTTTTAAGATACTGATAAGATTTTGTCATGGTTAATTCTAATACAGTGCAACCTCGATAATCCGAACCCACGCTAATCCGTATTAGATATTTCTTTACAGAGATTTGTATGGAATTCATTTTTTGTACTGTTTTCTAAACTATAATCATAACATGTTATTAGAGTAGCATCAGCAAGTACATTAATAAAATCACAACCAACAGACAAATTTAAATCATTTAGATACAAAATAAAGAAAAGGACCCTAGAAAGCTTCCCTAAGGCACACCAACATTGATTCTGGATTCAGATGAGAAACCCACGAAATTTTACCTTTTACTTTCTTTTGAATAAATAGTCACATAACCAGCCATCAATGCCTATATCCTTTCAATTTGGCAAGCAGTATATTTTTATTTATAGTTTCAAATAAGGATGTACCGTATCGGGAATTTAGCCGATCCGGTCGGAATCGGAATTCCGGTCGGATTGGGAAATATATCTAAAATGTAAAACTCCGTAATTTCCGCAAATGTTGGCGTTCTATTCTTAAATATTTATAAAACTGGCAACAGTCCAAAAACAATAAACGACTACAAATTAGTTCACAAAATCACCAAACAATTCAACAAAATGAGATCAAAATTAAATATAGCTAAAGCTAAATCCTAAGAATGAGCTTCGAGTGATATGCTAACATGTTTCTATACCACCTGTGGAAAAATTACCTTGATTTATTCCTTTCTGCATTATCGCAAACAGAGCTTTATAACTGTTAGGCATAAGCGTTGAGATATAATAAAGAGGAGATGCTATGACGATACTAAAATTGTCCAAACATTTTCATTTAGTCAATCTTCAAATATAAAATTATTGATTTCAAATAAATCAAAGTTCAACTCTAAGTCACCACTTTGATTTCACATTTCTCTTGACATCGTTAAGTGCGTCCATCTGTCATATCGCTAAATAGTGGGTTTATGTCTTCTCTACTTCATTCTCGATGGATAAAAAGTCATAACTTTTAGACCGTCAGATAGTGAATGATTTAGGTCCCCCTTTTCGCATACAAGCCTCGAAGAGGGTTGAAAAGTACATCGATGT